GAAAGCACGGTGGTCCTATGAAATTCTGGAAAAACAGCGGCGGCAAAGGCAGAGGAAGGAGGAGAAGCGCGAAGAGGAAAAAACGGATTATGGGACCCAATGATCCTATTTATAGGGATGACGTGGAATACAAAACGTCACCCCGGGGGGACCGCGAGCTTCCCCTCCTCGACGTCTACTCCCTTAAGCAATGATGACTCTACCTTCACTAGAGTGGCGTCACGGTTCCCAAGGGTTGCCTCGTACACTCATCGAGCGCATCCCGTAAAGAGTCCCCCGAGCACGCCTCAAAAGGGATTATCTCACGAACGCGACGCAGGAGAAACTTCTCGAGCGTCCACGGGGAAGCAAATATCCTGGCCGAGCGTAAGGCCCCGTGACGAATACGGACTGAGATCAAGTCATGACTCCTGCTCCAGGAGCCACGACTTAGGGGGCTCCTGTTCTGGACTGGGCCCGTCCTGGCCCAAGAGCAAGAACGAAGGCCCAGTCCAAGCAACTCTACAAGGGGGGCGCGCCCGAAGATGCCTGCCAAAAGCTACAACCGTGCCCGCCACTGCCCACAAACACGACGTCGTCGACCATATGAAATTCAGCTCGAGCCCAGCTCTGGCACCTTCCTCGTAGGGCAGACTATGACCGTTACTCCATCCCTTGAACTCCAGAAAGACCGCATCCTCGTCCCTCCGTACTTCTCGCAGAGCATCACCAGGAAGGGGACCACGTGCGGGTCCCCACTACGCACGTAGAACCTGGAAGTTCCTTTACTGGGCCAGTCCTGGCCGGCCCAATAAAGGGACCTTGGCCTTGCGCTGGGGGCTATAAATACCCTCTATTCCTAGAGGGTCAGGTATTCATTCTCTTACCCATATACACACTTTTTCCTGCTCGTACTACCACTCACTTTAGCATTGGAGTGCCTTACAGGTACCCCCCCCCCCCCCATCTCGTTCAACTTCAGCTCGGAGCCAGTCGTGATGGTCCAAGTCTGATCCGGTAAGATCAGTTCTATTTCTTCTTTCAGCAATTCCATTATGTTGAGGTGTGTAAGGAGCAGTTACCTCATGATCAACACCATGTTCTGCACAGAAATCTTCAAACATCTTAGATGTGTATTCGCCACCTTCATCTGTTTGTAGAACTTTGATCTTCTTCTCACTCTGGTTTTCGACAAGTATCTTGAATCTCTTAAAGATTTCGAATACTTCGTCCTTTCATTTGATCACATAGATCCACAACTTTCGACTAAACTCATCGATAAAGGAAACAAAATATCTGTTTCCACCAATTGTATGTTCTTCAAATGGACCACATACATCTGAATGCACCACTTCGAGAATACAGGATGATCTCATTGACATAGTTGAAACGAAAAAATTTCTGGATTGCTTTCCCACTAAACAACCTTCACAAAGTTTTTCAGGCATCTCAAGACTTGGAATACCAGTAACCATATCTTGAGTAATCAATTGATTAAGTGATCGAAAATTCAAATGTCCAAACCTCAAATGCCACAACCAACTATCCTTGTGGTCGACAACAGTTTTCAAACATTGAACTTCTGTCAAACTGATCATAGTCTTAAATGTCTTGTTCTTCGACAATGGAGATTTTAAAACCAAATTGTTCTTAGTGTCGAACAACTTCAAAACTCCATCTTTCATGACAACTGAGAAACCTTTTTCAACTAGTTGTCCAACACTTAATAAGTTGCATTTCATTCCAGGTACATAGAGCACATCTTTGATCATAACTTTTCCTCCATTACTCATTTGAAAGACTATGTTAACAGTACCTTCTGCTTGCAATGAACTATTATCAACAAGTTTTACCTTGCTCTTCTTCGACTCGTAAAAATCTTCCAACCACTCCTTTCGACCAGTCATGTGGTTCGAGCAACCTGAGCCAAGAAACCAGATATTAGATTCAACATAGTTATCTGCAACTGCAGCCATAACCATCATACCACCTTCAGAATCATCTGAATCTTGGCGTGCAAGGTTCGCTCCTTCGTCCTTGCCTTTTGATCCCTTGTCTTTTCTGTACCAATAATTCTTGACCAAGTGTCCCCACTTTTCACAGCTATAACACTGCATACCTTTCTTATCTTCTTTGTCCTTTCGATAGTTTCCTCCTCCCCTTTTCGAGGATTCAGAAGATCTATCTTTGACCTTATTCTTATGGGAATTCGACCAAGACTTCTTGCCATGAGTCTTGTCGAACTTGCCTTTGAATTTGTTGGAACCACCATCTTTTTTCCATGATTGAGCTTGCAGTGCCTGTATCGAGTCCTGAACTCCTTTCCTTTCGACAATCCTCATCTCATGCGCCTCCAACGAACCAACTAAATCTTCCACTTTAGTGGTTTCAAGATTGTTGGATTCTTGAATAGCTACGATAACGTGATCAAAGTGAGAGGTCAACGTTCTCATTACTTTCTCAACTATCATCTTATCAGTAATGGTTTCACCACAACCCTTCATGAGATGGACGAGTTTCTGAACCTTCGACATATATTCTGTAACTTTTTCATCTTCTCCCATCGGCAACAACTCATATTGTCGACGCAAGGTTTATAATTTGAAAACCTTGACTTTCTCACCTCCTTCGAAATACTTTACCAGAATATCCCATGCCTCATTCGCTGTTTCAGCATGAGAGATTCTATCGAAGTTAGCAACATCGACAGCGGTTTGAATGCAATAAGCAGCCTTGCAATCTTTTTTCTTGACTTTGTTGTGGGCTTTTTTCTGTTCGTCGGTTGCATTTGTAGCCAATGCCAGAACACCGTCGATAACCACTTCTAGGATTTCATGGAAGCCAAATAAGGATTGCATCTATTTTTTTCATCGGATCCAATTTTTACCGTCAAGCATTGGAAGAGAATTTGGAATGCTCTTATCACTAGCCATCTTCGTAGCGGTTGATTTACTTGCCCTAGAAAAATGATCTCTGACGTGAAATTCTTGAAAACTTGATCATGAACAATAACCAGAAGCTCTGATACCAATTTGTTAGTGCGTGAGACACTTTTAGTGAGGAGAGAAAGAGAGAATAATAAAGGAAATAAAGATTTATATTATTGAAGTGTACAAATAATGATACACACTATGACTATTTATATACAACCCTAATTAAACTCGGACTAACACAACTTAAATTATATTAAATATTAAATCTAATCAAATCAAATCTAATTTAATTTAATATTTCAACAATCTCAAATTTCAGCAAAATATCAACAAAAAGTGATATTAAATTAAACGAAAATAATATCACCATATTTAAACAATCAAATTTTTGCATAATATTGTATCACCATGCCCCGTTTGAAAACTTATTTCTAATTAAAAAATTATTAAATCTATTGTATCAAGCTCTATGATTTTGTTTAAAACCATACAATCACCTTCATGAGGTGAACTAATGATCATTACATTGACTAAAATCACACAATATTAAATATTCTCTCATTTAACGTTTATTTTTCCATTCATAATGAGATTTCTATATCACATTCATTTAATATAGGTGCAAATTTTTCAAAAAAATTCATTCAATAAAGTAAATAATGGAGAGTAAACCACAACAACAACAAAAAAACCCACATGTATGTTTCATATTATTATTTTCCTCACCAAATTACATTCCAATAAACAAGTGTATTTTTTTTTGTTGGCATTTTCATTTCACAAAATTCAATTTACATTAACCCAACAATTAATTAACTGATGCCACTCTTGAAACTTATAAACTTTTGTCTCCAGGTTATCGTTAATCAAGACAATAATTTAAAATAATGAACAACTAATCACCTATTAGTATCTTTAAGACCATACTTTTCTAACCCCTAAACAGATTGTTCATACTTGTTATAGTATTATATATATAATTAAATAACTAAACTTTTCCACTTTGGGATATGAGACATGTATTTTAAAATCAGAGATACCACCACCACCATATACATACTACAAAACATTTAATTTATAATAATATTACTTTTTCTAAAATTTTCAAACAAGGCCCACAATTTATTAAATTTAATCTAATCCCTTTAGCTTACTTAAGGTCTCAATAGAGCCACGTAGTTTATTTGTAATAAATATAGTAAGAAAAAAGCGGGAAGATAACGAAGATGAAGTGGAAATAAAATGGTAAAAAAAAGGGTCGAAAATAATATATACAAATATGGAAATAAAAGTTTTAGGGGTGTGAATGTAAATATGGAAAAGTTTCTTTTTAGAATAATTCTCAAACACTGTTTTTATTCTAAATAATTATTATATTTAAATAGGTTTAATATTATTTGGTTTTTTGATTTGTACTTGTGTTTCATTTTATTTTATGTTTTTGTTTTTTTTATTTTAATGTGTGTAATTTATGAGGTTGTGGAGGTTCAATGTAGTTGTGGAACTAAACTTTTGTTGTGTGGTTCTGTATTGAGTTTGGCCTAAGCTGAAACAGGAGAGATCCTCTTATGGTGACACTGGTACAAATCTCTTATCTCTCTCTCTCTCTCTCTCTCTCTGCCACTTTCTCTTTGTCTTTCTACATGTTTGTTTCTATCTCTTCATTTGCTGTTAACTTTGGTGATGTGTGGTGGTAAATTCTGATCAATTTGGATAAAGTTTAGTACTTTTTGGAGAAGGGTATGTGTTGTTTTTTATTTTTATGCTAGTGTTCTACTTTTGAAGTTCAAAGTATTGTTCTCAATTCATCTTTGTGTTTTTGAATTGCATCTTGATAGTTTTTGTGAATTCAGGTTGATAGCTTTGAAGGAGGTTGTGAATTGTGATCAAGTTTAGTGTTTGAAAAGGTGAAAAATTGATCTTGTTATTGAGTTTTTGTTGGGTTTTATGTGGCCAATGAAATGAGGTTTGAGTTAACATGGTGGTGATGGAGTTGCATGTGTGTGAAAGAAGTTGGAAGAGGTTTGTTTTTGTTGGATTTGTTGAGTTTTGCATACATGCAAGTGCAATTACTCTAAGTGGATAAAGATGGAGGATAATTCTGAGAGTTCTAGGGCTTTGAATCGTTCAGGAGTTTCAGATAGGAATCAGAGGCAAAACCGTTTTTCCGGCGAGGGATCAGAGGATTCTAGGTTTAGAAAGGAAAGAGATTGGATTCATGGTGGACTACAAGTTGATCTAAACAAAAGCCTAGGAGGGTTTTGTGAGGATGAAGTTGAGAATGACCGTTTCTTTTCTTCGGTGGAATGGGATGATATTAGCTTGAGGCAGTGGTTGGATAAGCCCGATCGGTCGGTTGACTTCTTCGAGTGCTTGCATGTGTTTAGACAAATAGTGGAAATCGTTAACGCGGCTCATTGTCAAGGTGTTGTTGTTCATAATGTGAGGCCTTCATGCTTTGTCATGTCGTCTTTCAACCATATCTCGTTTATTGAATCGGCTTCTTGTTCGGATACTGGTTCAGATTCTTTAGGAGATGGAGTGAATGGCGAACAAGGTGGTGAGGCTAAAACTCCGACATCTATTATGCATCCGCAGAGTTTAGGAGGTGAAGATTTTTTGCCTGCCAAGAATTCGATGGCTGCTCGGTCTGATTCTAGTTGCATGCTGTCAAGTGCTGTGTACGCAGCTCGTGCGTCGTTGATAGAAGAAACAGACGAGAATAAAATGAAAGATAGGAGGAAGGATGAAGAAGTGGAAGTAAAGAAGCAATCGTTTCCGATGAAACAAATACTGCAAATGGAGATGACTTGGTACACTAGTCCCGAAGAGGTTGCCGGTACTCCTAGTTCATGTGCTTCCGATGTTTACAGATTGGGGATTCTTCTATTTGAGGTATTTGAGGTTCATAGCTGAATTTGTACAATTTTTAAGTTCTTATATTATAATGCGGTGCTTTAGGCCTGTTTGGATTGGTTTATTTGAGCTTATTTATTGACATAAGTACTTCTGAGATTGTTCGAGAAACTTATGGAAAACAACTTATGATGACATGTTCATTAGTTGTTTTCATCTTATTTTCATAAGCTCTCCACGATAGCTTGTGAAAATTGCTTATAACTTATATGAGAACAATTTGACTGTATTCTATATTTTGTTATAGAAGTATTCTGTAAGCGCTTAATTAAGCTGTTTATCCAAATATGGTCTTTGTATGTTAGTCTAATCCAAACTTGCTTGTCCTACGTGTGAACAGCTATTCTGCCCGTTGAGCTCGAGAGAAGAGAAAAGTAGAACAATGTCTAGTCTTAGACATAGAGTTCTTCCTCCACAGTTACTTCTAAAATGGCCTAAGGAAGCTTCGTTTTGCTTATGGTTACTACATCCCGACCCTAGCAGTCGTCCAACACTAGGGTAATTTATCTTGATCGCATTAATCTTACATATCGATTATCCACTCGAAAGGTTTGTTTTCTTTTTCGTAGAACAAAACCGAAGATATCTTCTAAACTGTTTATTTTCTTATCAGTGAGTTGTTGCAGAGTGATTTTCTTAATGAACAGCGTGACGATATGGAAGAACGCGAAGCGGCAATAGAGATTAGACAAAAGATAGAAGATCAGGAGTTGTTACACGAATTCCTTTCGTTACTTAAACAAAGAAAACAGGAAGTTGCTGAAAAATTGCAACACACTATCGCTTTTCTGTGTTCCGATATCGAAGAAGTGGCCAAGAAGCAAACTAGGTTTAAAGAGATTTCCGGTGTTGAAATAGGGAGCGATGATCGTTCAGCATCAACTTTTCCATCCATGACCGTTATCGATAGCGGAGATTCTGCATGTTTAGGAACTAGAAAACGAGTCAGACTAGGGGTGTATGTTGATGAAAGTGGCGATAACACGGGGAATGATCAGAAAAGTTCGGGAAGTTTTCTTTCAAAAAGTTCACGACTAATGAAAAACTTCAAGAAACTCGAGTCGGCATATTTCTTAACACGATGCAAACCAACCTATTCCTCGGGGAGACAGGCGGTTAGACTTTCATCTATAGCAAATGATGGGAGAGGGTCTGTTGTCATAAATGAACGAAGTAGCATCAATAGCCTGGCATTGAAAGAGAAAGGAAGAGACGGCGGCGCAAGTGGCTGGATAAACCCTTTCCTCGAGGGTTTGTGCAAGTACTTATCTTTCAGTAAGGTCAAGGTAAAAGCTGACCTGAAGCAAGGAGATCTTTTGCATTCGTCCAACCTAGTATGCTCGCTCAGTTTTGATCGCGATGGAGAATTTTTCGCAACCGCCGGTGTGAATAAAAAAATCAAAATATTTGAATGTGATACAATCGTAAACGAGGACCGCGATATCCACTATCCGGTAGTAGAGATGGCTTGCAGGTCAAAGTTGAGCAGTTTATGTTGGAATACATACATCAAAAGTCAAATTGCTTCTAGTAACTTTGAAGGTGTTGTACAGGTAATTCAAATGCCGTTGACAGGTTGTTTTGGTTGAACTCCGTGATCGAATTGCGTTTTTAGTATCTGTTTTCTTTTAAAATGCGGTTTTTTGTTCTAAGAAACGCTGTAACTTGTTATCTTATTCAGTTATGGGACGTTACGAGAAGTCAAGTACTATCTGAAATGAGGGAGCACGAGCGGCGAGTGTGGTCGATTGATTTCTCATCAGCAGATCCAACAATGTTGGCAAGTGGAAGCGACGACGGTTGCGTTAAGCTATGGAGTATCAATCAGGCAAAATTCCATTTTCGCACTTGGTGGATGTCAAGCTTTGAAAACTAAACGTACTGCAGTTATATTGCATGTTTTATATATTTTTGTGCTGGATGTATGATGAGTTGTTTCTCTCACCTGGGCTGTTACTGCAGGGAGTTAGTATTGGCACCATCAAAACAAAGGCAAACGTATGCTGTGTTCAGTTTCCTCTCGATTCTGCTCGTTACCTTGCATCCGGTTCCGCGGATCACCGGATATATTACTATGACCTACGCAACTTAAGAGTGCCGCTTTGTACTTTAGTCGGACATAATAAGACAGTGAGCTACATCAAGTTTGTAGACAATGTCAACCTTGTCTCCGCGTCCACAGACAACACTTTGAAGCTTTGGGATTTGTCTTCGTGTACATCTCGAGTTATAGACTCGCCGATTCAATCGTTCACTGGTCACACAAATGTTAAGGTACACAAACAATAGCTTGCAAATTTTCTTCCAAACACATGCGGTTTCTACATCTTAGTGTCGTGTTCATGTCTGTTGTATATAATCTTGATTTATGTCTCTTTTATTGCAGAACTTCGTGGGATTATCGGTCTCGGATGGTTATATTGCTACTGGTTCAGAGACAAATGAGGTACGTATATGTATGTATATATACATTTCACATGTCCTTTTGTATCATCCTTTTTTTCTTCCTATTTATTTACAAGTACCGACGAAAATAAGTGTTGTCTATGTGGATTAGGTGTTTATATACCACAAGGCCTTCCCTATGCCAGCATTGCAATTCAAGTTTCAGAACACCGATCCAATTTCCGGCCACGAAGTGGACGATGCGGCACAGTTTGTCTCGTCGGTTTGTTGGCGAGGTCAGTCGCCAACGTTAATCGCGGCAAACTCGACAGGGAATGTTAAGATTCTGGAGATGGTTTGAGTTAACCTCTACACAACAATCTAAAATGATTCATAGTTTTGTGTGAGTAAGAGAACTAAGAACATATTCAATTGTTATAATATAGGGGTATACAAGTTCCTTCATTATTACTTGCAAGTTGTAACATAACAAATTTTTGCATTATTATTGTTAGATTATAGCGGAAAAAGGTGAAAGAGAAGAGTGAGATTGATAAGGTGAAAAAAAAGTGTTGTAGATAAAGTGGGCATATGGAAAAATGTAAAAGAGGTCAAAATCTATATGTGATTTTATTATGGTTTTGATCCATATTCAATTTTACATATTTGTTTTTCCTACATGGAAGCTACTCATTTTTATGATGAATTCGATGATATTTAGATATAAATGTTGCTTTTATCATGGCGATTTTTGATTTCTTGAATGTTGTGTTTTACTTTGTCAAACAAAGATCTTGAATGCTATGAATATTTCTCATGTTATTCGGGTCTATAATTCAGAGGCTTGCAAATTGTCACGCTGGGAAAATTCATAAGTGCAATGATTTTATAAAAATATTTAGTTTTCCTAATTACTTCATTTTGAACAATTGTTCTTATATATCCTTCTCCATGTTTTTAGAACAGTAACCCATTTCAGTGAAAACTCTTTAATCGTTGACTTCGGCAAATTTAAAAGTTCTTGAGATACAATTAAGTTGACTATAATCAGGCATCATAGCTACTGTCTTGTCGTTCGCATTTATGAATTTGGGTTAAATTGGGTTGGTTTGTATAGAAAGGAAAAAGTATTAACAAAGAATAAATACATTCTTTGGAGAGGAGACATTTATCAGGCATGAAAGTAAACTACTCGTCACAAACTTAAACCTATCGATCAATTGTATTCTACATACAATACTCGTTAAAATTATCATGTATCTCTCACATTAGTGTCCATCTCTGCAACACCGACAAGACGTATCACAACTCAGGTTATATCTAACCCAAATTGTAAGAACAACCACATTCTCGCGCCAACGATCTCTCAGCACGACACGATAATACAAAAGCATTAAGCTTCTATACTCAAGTGATTGTTAAGCCTACATTTATCTCTAGAGTTTAGAACCTAACATATTTCCTTCCCTAATCAAGACTTGTGATGTCAATCTCTACAACAACACAAATCCAAACATTAATGCAAAAAGATCAAGGAAAGTAACAAGATTGATTTGTAAAGCATATATTATGCAACACCATGATCAATAAATATACACGTGTTTAAAGTAACTATACAAACATAACCCAACAAAAGAGAAATACATAGAGAGAGGAAACGAGATAAACCAAACCTCACGGGTTTTCAGCGCCGGTTGATGAGAAATCCACCTCAAATCATCAAGAGGCAAAACCCTAGTGTTGTTTTCTAAGATAATCTACCAAAGAATGAGGGTGATGGAGTTTAGGAATAAATACCCCAAAAACCATAACTTATAATGAAATAAAAATATATACAAAACTGGTTCAGAAGCTCTCGCCCGACGCTCAAACGCCTTGTCTAGCAAGAGATCTTAAGTCACCCACACAGACTGTGCCATGCACGCAGAATGGTGAAAATATCTACCTTTGCCCGACGAGAGGAAGTCTTTCCTGATGCCCTTATTCTTCTTCGTCCGACAAACCAAACGCGCGCCTAAGAGATAAGCTACTAGAAAATCTCCTCCTTGGTCTCGCCCCTCACTCGCCCGGCAAGCTAGAAGCGCTGCCTCTCGACCCAGCTTCGCCCGGTGAAGCTTGACAGACATAACTTCTTTATTTATTTTCCTTGCTTTCTTTCTTTTATTTATTCATTTATTGTATCAAATAGTGTATCTTGGAAGTCTTTATTACTCAATAATCCAACAATGCTTAAATACCTACAAAATAAATGGAAAACTATCAAACAATACATTAATTACACAAAAATTCAATTATACCAAACTAAATATATTTACAAAAAAGTTAGGATTTATTCAACTAATATTAACAAACAAGAGTCGATAAGTGTCACAAAACTATATATAAAATAACTACAAATTTGCACTTATCAAACTCTCCCCAACTTAAAATATTGTTTATCCTCAAACAAAGTCAAACAACCTAAGGAAGAAAGAAGCAACAATCCAAGAATCACAAATCAACAGGTTTTGAAAACGGAAAATAAATGTATGGTTCAAATAAAAAACGTACAAGTAAAGTAAACTTACAACTATCCTACAACGACAACATGAGAACGAAACTAATCCTAAGTGCAAAAATCATGCTAAACCATCTAAAACAATACAAGCTCATATCATGAATCACACCTAGAAAAATTCACCGAGGGATGAAAAACACCTAAAGGTGAGAAACTTTGACACTCATGCAACAATTTTGCAAACAAAACACTAAATTATGCATTCATCCAAAAACTCATATTGAAAATACAAAGACAAGAATCACAAGGATTTTTAAAGGTTATAATGTGGGTTGGTTAACAAACAAGGGATAAATCCTAAATCTAATCGAAACAAAAACTTGCTTAAACCTAATGGATTGATCAACTCACAGAAGTTCAAATACAAAATTTCAATCAAAATTCTTCTTTCATCTAAAGTGTTACACCAAACACATAACTTATTAGCACAATTATTCTTTTGATACTCTTTTTGTTTTTATTTTTCAAAACTTTTTCATCTTTTTTATTTATTTTTTTCTCTCTCTTTTTTCTTTTCTTTTTCTTTTTCACAACCGCATAGCAACCAACAGATAAATGAGAAAACATTGATCTCCCCAACTTGAATTCAACCAACATCAATGTGTGAATACTCTCTACTTTTTAAGGCAAGATAAAAATTCATACAACAACACAAGGTTAAGGGTTCAAGAAACAAAAATAATCAAATCCATACATAAAGGAGAGCTAAATAATCATAGACAAGCATAAAGTTCAACTACAACATGGATATGACAAAAAAGATTCAAAAGGGGTTAACAAAAATTCACGCGCTCACAAGGTGAATTGACTATTTGATTAGAAAGTTGTGCTCAAAATCAAACAAAATGTCTTGATCCTTTTCATTCTTTCATACAATCAACACAAACAAAAGATTAAACATAATGAAATCCAATTAAAACAAGAATTGTGGCCTCCAACATATATGAACAATGGAAATCTTCCTCACATTTGGGGTAAAAAGGAATTAAAGTAATTCAATCAAAAAGCAAGTAATGTAAAAGAATGAATGACATGGTAATTATACAAATGAAAAGTTTCCTAAACATTTTATGCTATAAAAAGCGATAAACGAATACTTGGCGTGTACCAACTTCAAAACAATATTATTACCATACATCCGCAAGTTGAAACGGTCAACTTGAAAAATTACCTCAAACTTCCTCAAGCTACTCAAAACAAGCTCTTGGACAAACACAAAAATAAAAAATTAAAACAATTACTATAAACATACTAAAATACCAGGTGAAATTGAATCAAACAAGTTGAAAAGTGAAGATTTGAGAATTTTAAGATCTTGTCTAATTTCAACTTGTTTAACCAATTCACCACACTACCTATACTAATATAATAAAAACAATAAAGAAACTAAAAACAATAAAACATGCTTGTTTTAGGTCGTAAGCTCAACGCATGTTATTTATACACACTCCTCCAAGTTGCCTCTTTACATGGTTAGTGTTCACCAACGGTGAAACCTAACCAAACACTTAGCAAACATGAAGAGAAACAAACGTATACACAAATTTACAAGTATTGGAAACATGTAAAAATCACAAGTATGGTAAACATAAACAAATAAATGCACAATTATACATATACAAGTCTAATTACACAATATAAACAATATGAACATTATGTTCAAAACTCAAAAATAAATATACTATCACAATGCGATTCAATAAAAACACCAATCCCCGACAACAACACCATTTTGCTGAAGCGGTAAAGCGGTAAACAAGAGTTTTGGAAATATTCTTCCGGGAAGTTATCGTATCCACGGGGATCAGTGCTACTGAATTGTCATTCGATAAGTCTCACGTTTATGAGTTTAGGTTGAATTGGGTTGGTTTGTATACAAAGGAAAAAGTATTAACAGAAAATACATACATTCCTTGGACTTTGACAAGGTTGTAGTTGTTCGAAATCCTCTAATTTTGAAGGAGTGTGTCTTCTTTTTGTTGGATTTGCATTCTCTCCAAAAGAGCTATCACATTGGAATTGTTTTCTTGAGGAACCGGGACATCCTCGTCCATATTTGCTTCATTTTATTCTTCCTCAGACTCTTCTTCTTCTTCATTATCATCCTCTTCACCATCACTATTTTGGAACGAAACAGATGTACTTCTCACAACATAACGGTATTTTTGTTCCTTGTGATCCCATTAGAAGTCCATCAAGGTAAGAGATTTCTTCGTGAATTCAAGATCATAAGTCATACCAATATAAGGAATTCCTACAATTTTAATCTTTTCTCGATTGAGAACTCTTTGAATGAAAAAGGGATAGCATAGTGCAGTGCCTCTTCCAGAGTTATGCAGATCAAACATTCAGCTAGCAAAATAGTGTGGCCAATGAACCTTTATTTTATGTTTTAAAACATAAAGCATTTGAACTTCAGGTTTATCCACAAGGGAAAGACCTCCCTTCTTGGGTCGAATGATGTGGCAAACGATCCAAAAGAGAATTTGGTCAAATGGGGCTAGAGCACCAGTTGTTACAGATCTTGGAAATATTTGTTGTTCATTCTATATTTAAATTAAAAACCCTCAAACTTTCCTTGCATGCCAGCATAGAACATTTTGACTAAATCTCCATTATACGGTGTATCACATTCAAGAAATAAGTGGAAGTTCTGAAATCTTAACAGTTTAATAATTTCAGGAAGATGCATATGACCCAAGGTTTTCAAATATAAAGTCGATTGCCTAACTATGTTTCTCTTACCAAAAGTGTCTGCAAAAGTACCAACAATATCATCAGAGAGAAGTGAGAGAGCAGTTATC